GCGTAGAATATGATTCTTGTTCTATCCCATAGGAGCAATCGGGATAAAAAGTAATTTAATAAAGGTTCAGCGTGATTTATGGATAACTAAACAAACAAAGAAACTTTTAAATTTAAAATATTAATGTCATGTTTAATTTCAAGACAGAGCAGCATTGGTAGGTAACTGGGTACTTTCCTTGATCAAAAATAAATTATTTCGACTGTTCAATACAATAAAATATTAAAAAATAATCACACTTTTATTATGATTTCATGACCAACTTAATTTTAGTATTTTTCCAGCAATTTTTTACGAAATAAGTACGCTGTTTGGGCGCTATAAAAACGTGACGTCACAATACACAATCTCGTACAAAATTCATAGAAAACTGTCGTTTTTGACAGTTCGAAAAATGTATCGAATTTGACTAGTTGGCAAGTACCTACCCGATTCGCTGTTGGAAAATTCTTATGAATCCTCCTTTTTATTCTATCATATACAAACATACCTTACCTACTTATTATGTGTGACTAACACAACCAAAAAATCGCTTGCTAAAAACACGAACTTCCAAAAATACAGCGAAAATTCCTCAAAACCGATTCGCGGGCTTTTGCCATCTTTAAAAACGACACGGTTCATTGACACGACGAAAGATTAAAGAAAAAAATAAAAATACAATAAAATATTTCCGAGTCAGTCTGTCTCCGAAATCAAGATATTTGTCTGTCATGTATTTAGCAGCAATTATTTTTAATTTATTATTTTGTATACGGATTCACATAAAGCTGTGCGAAACAAGTATAATCTGACCGATTAATGTGCAAACTGACCGAAGAAAGGGAGACCTTGATAAACTGGTATTGTTTAGCTTTACGTTTGACATCTGACATAAGCGGCCATTTTGAATAGAACTGTCAAACATTATTTTGAGTACGTTTAAAAATGTATGTATGAAATAACAACGATAATAAATAGATTTATTGTTTTCTATGACTTCTAAAGATATGTTAGATTATCTTTGTTCTATTTGTATTTTTTATTTCTTTTGTTGTTTAAAGTGTATTTTTTTAATTTTGATCTCTTGTAAAGTCATTGTACTAGTAAAAACACATCAGGCCTAGAAGGCCTTGTCGCGGAGAACCTAACGGGTTACCGGGGCTCCGGCTCGACGTGCAGGAGAAGGATAGCGGTGGTTTTTAGTCAGTAAGAGTCTGACACTCCCTCCCACCTCACCCAGGCGGCAGCAGAATATCGATGATTTTCCCCCCTTAAAAAATAAGCCTAGAAGGCCTGTATGTATTTAATCAACATCAGGCAAAGCTTTGAGTATTTTTCAGTTTTATTAATATTCGTAAGTAATATTAGCTTTACACATAAGCATTCTTAAATTAAATAACTCTATATTTAATTGGCAAACAAATAATATAGTTTAAACTTCCTCGTTAACTGACATGAAACTATTCATAGTCACATGCCAAATACTCAGAATTAAACGATTGTACATATATAACATAGCCAACGTTACACACATATCTATTTACTAATAGCAAATGAAGATATACCAAATATGTTTTATCGACGACAAACGAGTACACGAAACACCTGATGGTAAGCAATCAGCGTCGCCCATGGACACTCGCAACTAGAGCTAAAACCCACCCCGTTCCTACTCCTGCACTTCGAGCCGGAGCCCCGGCAACCCGTTAAATCTTCCACGGCTCCATATCGGCATCAGCCCTGTTGGGCCCCATCTGTGGTGGTCTGATGGCTCCTTGAGGCGTGCGCGGAACGCGATGCGCCGTACGCTCGGACCTGGACTCTTGAAACCAATCTCAATGTCAATGCAATTTCAATCCAATAAAAACTCAATAATTATTCAATGTCAAAATTATACAATCCCTATCATAGCCGTTAAAATATCATTTAGAGTACGGAGTATACAGACAAACTCAATACCATTTAGTTCATTTAATATCCACGCAATACGGATGCAATGGGCGCTAGTGTTGCAACTCGAGGGTACGAAATTTCACAATACCAATGTCGATCGATCGGAATTGGATTCAAGAGTAAGCACACTAGACGGCGAGTCACCCGTGCTCGCCGTCTGCGGGCCCGTGTTTACGGTCGTCTCGCGATCTCCGACGCCCGGAATGTCTCTCGCTAAAGCTGAGGCGTGAGGAGGTTCGTTCCATCACGCGCCCCGCCTCCTCCTTAGCTAGCATGACTGCTAAGCAGAAGGAGGATATGGCATTCCAGTCCCTCTCGCTCCGTACCATGGTCTGAACTAGAGCCGGACGCGAGAGATCGCCGTCGCCGATCACATCCCTGAGGACACGTTCATAGACTGTGTACTACCCTATTCACTGATGATATTTATTGGTAATACCTTGACAAGCTCATTCTCTTCATAATAGTAATACCAATCTTTCAACAAAATCGAAACAATGTGACCTAATTATGATACAATATGTCTGCCAACTCATAGCCTTATGCGTTTGGATCTGATTCTTATCCGTCAATACTCGAATCTGGTTTATATTCTGTACATTTAACGGCACATCAGGCTACACATAACCAATTTATCTTGATCCATCTTTGTATGATCTCTTCGTATACTCAACGGTCAATTTATACTGGTTTTCATCGGTATATCAATATATAGATTACCAATGTATATTGATCCCGCTTTGTATGATCTCTTCGTATTTTCACAGGTCAATTTATACTGGTTGTATAATTGTATGTGTACAATATTTTGTATAGGTTTAAAGTAAACTTTATACTATAATCGTAAAGGGTCAAGGACTGTTTTGTTGTTTTAAATTAGATGTAAATAATCGTCGTACTCAGTCATTGAATGGTGACTTAACCAGTCCTTAGCAATTGGCTACTCGCCAACTAGTCAAATTCAATACTTTTTTCGAACTGTCAAAAACGACAGTTTTCTATGAATTTTGTATGAGATTGTGTATTGTGACGTCACGTTTTTTAAGCGTCAAACAACGTACTTATTTCTTAAAATTTTCTCGAATAATACTAAAATGTTTCATTTAAAAATAGACTTTCTTCATCCATAAATGTTTGCGATTACCACGCAATATCACTGCGCAAAAAAGTATTAAAGTTCGTATTTTCAAAAATAGGTTTTCTTCGAAAACATTTTGTGTGTAATGTGTGGTTCACAACATGTTTGTTGTAAACATTACACGGAAAAAATTTGCTTAACGATCTCGCTGTCACATTTTATTTTAGGCTTGTTAAATGAGCAGTACGAGCTACATAACGGACAACATCAACTCGCGAAAGTATACTAAATTGTTCGCCGCGGAGAACCTAACGGGTTACCGGGGCTCCGGCTCGACGTGCAGGAGAAGGAACGGGGTGGTTTTTAGTCAGTAAGAGTCTGAAACTCCCTGCCGCCACACCCAGGCGAGGACAGTCATTCAATGATTTTCCCCCTTAAAAAAATACTAAATTGTTTATAGATTTGGAATATAATAATTTTACTATAAAGTTGATTATCTATTGTAGAGTTTTATTTGAATTTTAAACTGAAAAGTTAAAAAAAAATTTGATTTAAGCGCCTGATATTTTACTTAATGCAATCATTTGCGTTCTAGGATTAAGAGGCGCTTGGCAGAAAAATACACAATTTAATTTTATTTACGTTTGTAATTACTAATTTAAAGATAATAAATTATGTTTATAGTTCATTTATTTGTATGAATAACATATTAAACACAAGAAAACAACGCAAAAATTAAACTGAACACCATTTTGTAATTTTGACAAGAGCATTTCAAATTCGTTTGTAGTCGCTGGCTATTTGTGTTTCGCGTAGGAGTTACCTGCTGGAGACCGAAGCTAAGAAATAGTTCGTCCCAAATATTTATATATTGTCCTAAATATCTTGAAGTTTGACGGGTTTGTTTGTTTCATCCATAAACGAAAATTGCTGAATAAATCACGTTTTAAAATAATTATCTACACACAAAAAGCTGAAAACTGGACGAAATGTATTATAAAATTGATGTTTCCTATTATCTAAGGTGACCTTAATCAAAGTAGGTACGCCTTTGCAACGCTAAATACATTAAAACAAGCACTCTATACATAGTATTTGGCATTCAGTATTAAATGAACCCTGTTTCCATGAACCTTCTTTTCAGTAAGAGGCCAACTTGTAAAAGTTATTCTAATATTATTTTGACATCGTATGTATCACTAGATTAGAGGTATTAATATGCATTTTTCGTATTCGCAGCCAAAACCATTAAATAAAAATATTACCTTGTATCATGTGAATTATAATTTCGTTCGCAACGCAATTTTTTGGCGCCTTTTCTAATGTCATAGTGACATTGACATATGTAATTGTCACTTTTTTATCAAATGCTTTTTACCTATTCTTTTAAAAAAAACAAACTGTAGACTATTCCCAGACAAAAATCGCGTTAGAATTATTTACGTGACATTGTAATATCGTGAATAAAAAAGAATTCATTTTATAGCTGTACTTTAAACGTTTTATTTATTTTGTCAACAGACTATAAAATATTCGTGTGCGGAAAAAAATGTTAAAATAGCCCGTCTAATAAACTTGTTAACCTTTGGATTTTCATTTGTGAAATCATTTCCGGGGAGGCTGCCCCGAATATGTTGTAAAAAAATTGGGTGCACATTCTTCATCTAAGTCCAAAGTTATTGCGTTTATTCCTATTTCCCATAAATTTATTTTATGCTTACTATTTTCGTTTTAATATTTTGTTAATAATGTTGTTTTTGTTTTGTTTCAGGTATGACAAAATATCAAGAAAACGTCATAGTCCTTACCAAATAACAGAACTTTTTAAATAGACATCAATGATTAATTAAACGCATTAAAATAATAATAATAAGTAACAAATAATCGAAAATAAATGGCATTTCGACGAAAAACAGTTTCACAGTCAAAGTGTTAGTGCGAAAGAGATAGATTTATATCGAGTGTGGCTGAGAGACAAGGAGAGAAGATGTCGCTGGTGGCGCCTAGAAGGGTCCAACTTGATTGGGCGCCTTCGATAATACCATGGTAAGATATTTGTATATTCAATAACAACTTGAGACGTATAAAATCATTTTATACGGTGAACCATAAGAGAAACGCTCTTCTAGTTCAAGACATATCAGGACTCAAGTCCATGAGAAGCGTTTGAGAATAAGAAATAAGAAAATATTCTGGCTAAGGAATTATAAAGTGTAGGAAAGCCATGTCTCGACACGAATGGGCCGGCTCGACCGGAGTGATTCCACGGCCTCATATATTCCGAATTCTGAAACGTTACTCAATTTTAAGTCGTGCTTAAATATCTTGCCATCGCTGTCATTTTACAAAGAATTTGTAGAGATAGAACTATACTTATGAGCGACTTAAAATTGAGTAGCGTTTGAGTATTCCGACAATAGAAAACCGACCTGAAACTCGTCAACTTGTAAAATTTTCTATAACGTAGCGCCATCTGTCCAAAGAAAGTTGTGATAGTGACAGCAAAAAGGCTGAAGGCATTAGATCTAATTAAATTGCTTTTGCTTATTCCCGCCGTTTTGATCAGTAGCGTAGCGTAGTAATAGAGTTTACGACAGCTGTCAAATTCAAAATAGATGGCGGTTTCAGTCGCTTGTTAACGACCAAATCCAAACGACACGATTATGGTCGATCCAGTCTTCTCATAAAATGTCTCAGAAAAAAAATAAAGAATGAATTTTAGAGAATAGCTTGACTAAAATTGTTAAATAAATGATCCCATTATTTTCCATGCGAGATATAAATGGATGGATTTCCAAAAAGTGTTCAAGTTATTTTGACGCCGAAATACACCCCGGCTTCGCACGGATATGCTTGTATTATACATATAAAGCTTCTTTAAGAAATACTCTATCTATTAAAAAAAATCGCATTAAAATCCATTGCGTAGTTTTAAAGATCGCATACATAGGGACAGACAGACGGCGGGTAGTTACTTTGTTTTATACTAGGTAAGTATGTAGTGATTATCGTCATCGTAATGTCGGTCACAAGACGAACCTAGGCCCCCAATAACTTTCAGATAGACAATTAGAAATACCATATCGGATTACAGTTACACTAATTAAGTACTATCAACAGCCTAAATTCGCCGGCTATCGGCACTTACGTATTAAAATCTAGGTCAAGGTTTACCTAGATACCTATATTAGACCCTGGACATGCGCATTAAGTGTCTCTTAGCCGATCAGCTTAGCTAACTTCACAAAAAGTACTTTGTTCAGAAAACCGTTAATAATTCGATTCTTATTTTTATGTAAAAATCAGGCTAATACCGCCCTTATTGCTAAGGGAATTTGTTTGTAATTATTTAGGATAGAATTTAAGCCTTTTACGACGGTTTGATGTACCTAAGTAGGTATTTCACCTTTTTTTTGGGATTATGATATTCTCTTGAAATGCCTTTATATATTAAAGGAATTTCAAGAGAATTCAAGTAAACTTTTTTTTTACTTTTTAGTTTAATGGTTAAACGCCAATTAAATAAAAATATTCAAAAGTCTGGATTATTATAAAAGTACCTAGGTCCTGCAACGAGCTGTTGACCACAATTTATCATAGGCCTTTCCATACCAAATCACAATATTTTAGTAAATGAATCACATTAGACACCTATCCTATTCATCCTAATATCAACGGTATAACGTCATGTACATTAGTTCATTGGAAAAATAACAGTAAAAAAATATTGACAATCCAAAAATAAAAACAATAATATTGTTATTTGTGTGAAAAAAAAATCCAATTAGGTACCAAAACTTGTAAAGTCTAAAGTCAAATGCTAAAAATTTCGCAGAAAATGTCACTGCAAACCATACATTGCACTGCTCGTGTCATATTCATGCGGAACCCTAATTTTACACCGCATAGGTCACTAACCTCCTTACACCGATACCCGCTCACTTCACTGCGTCAACCAGAAAAAAAAACTTGTCCGTCAGCTGAGCGACCGCGGCTAACTTCATTTAGTTGAAAATGTATCTGTCATGGCTACGCGATCGATGCTAGTCCCCAGTTAAAAATTACTGGAAAACATAAAAAATATGTCGCGGAAACCGCTGAAGGACGTCGCTAGAGCCTTCGCAAAACTGTAATAATTTTATTTAGCGTATCGCTATAGTAGTAAAGTGTTTATTGTGTGAATTTCGAGCGTATCTAAATTTGTTCCTTGTCAGACGGGATCAGTCGTGAAAATTTTCACGGTGAGTATTTGTTTTTTTTTCAACACTCGCATGTGCGTAGGCGGTCATTATAAAAGATAGCAATGTGTTTTATTTGTAAATACGTGTATTTATTTGAGGAAAAATGTCTTTTGCTTGAATAAAAATCGATTATAAGTGGGTGGGATTGCTGGGACCTGTCCCTGTCTCGCTTGTGTATAATCCGGCTGCGTGTGAAAGTGACGTAACGATGCGACGTCTGCATCGCGTCGCAGTCCATTCAAATCGGCCGGGTAACCATATCTGTTCCTTTCTAGCGTAATGTCTTATTAATTTTAGTTATTTTTTTCGGGATACTTTCGTAGTTTTCTAAGTAAAACTCAAATGAATCACGTTACGAATAGATTGTACAGGAGTTTGCGCGTCATTCGGGATAGACAGGCGGACAGTTTACTTTATAAATACTGTTGTATTTAATCGATAATGAGTGGTGTTCCTATAACGCACGAAACTCCCGTAAGAGCGAAAGTTGCGTGTTCTATATTTTTAATATTGGAAAATGTCGCGAGTGCAAAAAGTAATAAACTGTAAATAGTTTTGGCGACAGAATTAATTAATTTTGCGGTAAAGGAGTGTCGTGTATCAGAGGTGCGCCTTTCTACCCTTGTTTAACCCCGCAGGAATAACAATAAACCGTGTGATTAGATTCCGATACAGGTATTGGCTGAATAACTGTGTAGGCTGTATAAATAACTTGCCTTGTCCATCCAGATTGCAAGCGAAAATGAATGTCAATATGTCAAAGTGGAAATTCATAGATAGAATCGGCTCAGTAGAAAAAAATGTTTTTGTTGAGCATTTTGCGTAAAAAATGTCTAATAACTTAATACTTATGTATGAGGCTTGTACAAGGAAGTGATTATAAGGTTTTTCATACATTTTTTGTTATCCAAATTGGTAGGCAAAGTTTTTCTGTACCACATAATTTAAATTAAATTATTATTGTACCTATTACATAAATATTTTATTAGTAATACGCAAGGGCAGTTTTTATCTCTTATAATGGACTTGTTTTAAGATAACCTAAGGTCAAAAGGTGACTGCAGTAAAGTAATATCTGCAAACCATAGACTTTGTTAAATAAACATTGTAACCTTTTTTTTAAAGTTACCTTGCTACCCTTTTTTTTTTTTGATGTGATGAGGCAGGTTTATGAATCATATTCCATGTGTGAAAACTAAAATTACATTTTTCAGTTGAAATTATTTTGAGTCAAATGGAATTTTTAGTTTTATGATCTGTGAAGGCTGTGTTCAGGGTCTCATTGTTAATAGTGGCTTAACCGATCAAACCACTAACTCCATTATAGACCGTATTTCCAATGTTTTCAGACTACTATTGTATGAAAAAATTTTGGGGATTTTCAGTACAATATATTAAATGCTGATCATAAAATAATAGAAGACAGGACTTGAAAATTTAGTCTTTATGTCTAATGTCTTGTTACCTCAATAGTAAAAAAATTTTTTACTCATTAGAATTACTATACATTGGGTACTATAAAAAAAGTAATTCTATTTGTGGGAAGTTAAATTCTAAAGAACAATTTTTTATTTGTGTGCCTGATATCCATATTAATCTCCTGTATTACCTCATCTTTATCTATAACTAGCTTCTGCCCACAACTTTATACACGCAATACCATTTTTTCCCAATACCGGTACGTGATTTTCGGTAAAAAGTAAAAAAAGTATTAGATAAAAAGTCTCCCATGTCTGTTCTGTGGTTCTAAGCTACTTCCCCACCAATTTTCATCCAAATCGATATAGTGGTTCTTGAGATATAAAAGTGTAACTAAAGTGACATTTGATTTATCAACTGTGGTACAAACACTTTCCTCTTATAGGGTTTGCCAAACTGCTATAATCGCCATAATAAGTATGTGTAGAGAGCATTTCCTAGTAAGCGATTACTAGAGAAATTAAATTCAAGAGGAAATTAAATTCAATTACAGTACACTACACCTTTGGATAAGCAAATAGCTTCACTTTAAACTTTGTTGACGTTCAAAAGCACCTTTCTGGTTTAATTGAAATAAATTATTATGACTTTGACTTATCAAAACCTGTATTTGCCATCCCATGTCAAACATGACTGCCTCGTTGGCCGAGTGGTCGCAGGTGCGACTGCCGGGCAAGGGGTCTCTGGTTCGATTCCCGAACCGGGCAAAGTATTACAGGGTTTTTAAAAAATTCTCGGTAGTAGCACGGAGTCTGGAATTGTGCCCGGTATATGGCAATAGGCTCACCCCCTATTGGACTCATAACATAAATAGTGAAAAGTGGGTGTTACATTGTACAGTGGCATAATGTGCACCTCTGCCTATCCCTTCGGGTATAAAAGGCGTGATGTTATGTTATGTCAACCATGTAAAAACGATTTATTAATTTTTATTTAACACATAAGAGATACACCAGCTGTGATATCTCATAAATCTTAAAAATATATGTTGTAATTACATTTTCACATAAATCATAAAACTCCTGTATGTGTTATTTATAAAAAAAGGTACTCTATCTGTGAAATAACAAGGAAAAATTGTTTGAAAACTAATTCAATTCCTTGATTTATAGATATCCAATATCAATATAATTAGTTGCTTGAAGTAATGTAATTATTGTACTAAGTACCTATCATATCTTTTATCAATAAGAATATTTGCCAAAGATGGTAAAGAAACTGAAACAGAAAGACTGCCTCGTTGGCTGAGTGGTCGCAAGTGCGACTGCCGGGCAAGGGGTCTCTGGTTCGATTTCCACTTCGGGCTAAGTATTACTGTGTTTTTAA